GACACCTTCGGAGGAGTGGGCAACCCTATGGCTCATTTGAGAGCCTACTGTGACCATCTCGTGGGAGTTGGAAGAAGCTCTCGAATGGTTTACCTCGCATGAAACCAGACAATGGCCCAGCTGGAATGCATTGGCCAGACATTTTATCGATCGATTTGCTTACAACGTAGAAATTGTTCCCGATCGATACTCTTTGGAAAAGATGAAGCAAAAGTCAACCGAAAGCTATAGGGAGTTCGCTTATAGGTGGAGAAAAGAAGCGGCAAGGGTAAGGCCACCCATGACTGAGAAAGAAATTGTTGAAGTGTTCATGCGTGTGCAAGAGCCAGAATATTATGATAGAATCATGTTGTTCATTGGAGCAAAGTTTGCCGAGATAGTCAAGATTGGTGAGACTATCAAAGATGGTATAAAATGAGGAAAGATAGCCCGTGTAGCCGCACCACCTGGATCTTCAGGGTTATTGATAAAGAAAAGAGAAGAGCTGCTATTTCGTACATGGGAGGAAAACCCCCAGAAGTTCATCATATTCGCAAGGTCGTTCCCGGCCTTCCCCAAAATCCTACCAATCTTGTTACATGCAATCTAGTCATCCCAATAATCAGAATACTACCTCAATTTATCAAAACGTTCAGGCTTCCGTATACCAAAGTCCACCCCCCAATTACCAAAGTCCATCTCCCATTTACCCAAATCATCCTCCGCCCAATAACCAAGCTCTATCTCCAAATTACCAAACAAATACATATCCAAGAAGCTAAGCTCCCCGTCCAAATACTAGAAATTATCAACAGGTGCCTCCTCCTCAACAAGGCCTTCAAGGAACTTTACTGCACTAGCTGAAAGCCGTACCAAACTATATGAGGGATTGGATGCGGATGGATACATCCAACCTATGGGGCCCAAACTCGTGGATGTCAATTCAAAGTTCTACAAACCCGGTCAAAGATGTGCTTATCATTCCAACAGCGTCGAGCACGATACTGAAGATTGTATCAACCTCAAGCGAAAAATTCAGGATCTGATTGATTAGGAGATAGTCTCTCTCCAACTGGTGGCACCAAATGTCAACACAAACCCGTTGCCGAATCATGGAGGCAACAATGTCAATATGATCAAGACAGATGAAGACTGGTGCGGAACGAAGATAATTACTCCTATCGTTCACAATGATTTGGAAAGGGCTGTCGCTTCTTTAAGCGTTCAAGAGAAGAGAGAGTTTGTTATTTTGACACTTTCAAAGGTTGTTGCCTTGGTGCCATCAAAAACTCTTGTCAAGCCTAAATTTGTTATTGAAACTGCTGCTCAAGGCATGACCAGGTCTGGAAGGTGTTAAACTCCTGACGAGCTTTCTCTCGGAGGACAGAAGAAGGATCAGGCTAAAAGGCCGATAAGCGAAGGAGAAGCGAAGGAATTCTGGAGGAGAATGCAACCAAAAGATTACTCCATAGTTAAGAATTTGGAAAAGACCCCGGCTAAGATCTCCGTATAGGACTTGCTGATGAGCTCTCAATTCCACAGGCAGGCCTTAATGAAAGATCTTGATGAAACGTACGTACCTGCAGGTACAAGTAGTGATAACGTTGCCTCCATGATTCATCAGGTTATTCGAGGGCACCAAATCAACTTTTGTGATGATGAGCTGCCTGTTGAAGGGAGGTCACATAACAATGTGCTGCACATCACTGTGATATGCCGAGAAAAAGTTGTCAACCGTGTCTTAGTAGATGATGGATCTTATCTGAATATTTGCCCGTTGTCGACGTTGAGGCAGCTAATGTTTGACCTTGGGAAACTGGAGTAAAACCAGGTCAATGTGAGAGCCTTTGATGTGGTTCAGAGAGATATGTTTGGAGCAGTGAATTTGACCATTCAAATGGGCCCCGCAGAATTTGACGCGCAATTTCAAGTAAGTATTGGATATCGATACCACTTACAACCTGCTTCTGGGAAGGCCGTTCTTCCATATGGCTGAGGCCGTCCTCTCTACTCTCCATCAGATGATGAAGCTCATGTGGAAGAATGAAGAGTTGGTTATTTATGGCGAGGGGAGTCACATTGGCAGGCAGGTGCCGATCATTGATGAGATATCTCGAGGTACAAACTTTTACACAGTGGGCTGGTAAATACTACCGGCGAATACTTGGCCCCACAGACCCCCATGCCTACGTGTACAAGATGATAGTCACTGTGATGCTACAGAATGGTTTTGAGCCAGGGTTTGGACTGGGAAGAGATTCCCAAGGAATTATTGAGCCTTTTTTGGTGCTCATTAAGGGATCCAAATATGGTTTAGGGTACATCCTTACAGAAGATGACCTGAAGATGAAGAATAAAAACTATCAAGCATTGGCTAAACCGATCCCACATTTGTAACTATCCTTTCCGATCTGGAAGTGTGCCGAACATGAAGACCTTAGGGAAGGAATCTGTGACCTATTCGAGGAAATTGATGTTGTTGTTAAGGAGGAGGTCAAGCTAGTTGGTGTTCGCGATGCTGAACAAGGGAAGGTGCTGTGGAACTGGACCTCCACACCTATCCTGATACCCCGAACTCTTCTGTGGAAAGGCGTCATTTCATGCACATTAAAATTGGTGGTAGTCCGGAGAGGCCCGAGACCCACCATTTTTGCATATTCTTAATTGTTCAAATTTTCGAGGTTCATTATGATGTTAAAAAAGGTAACATGGCCCATGCCATGGCCAAAGTTTGCATTTTTTTTAAATTATAGCCTCTTTGTTTTTAACTTTATTTATTTAGTTGTTTGTTATAGCTTACTTTCCTAATTTTGTCTGTTTATATCACAACAGGGTGATATCGTTCGGCCTCAAAAATGCGGGTGACACTTGCATGAGAGGTATGACGACCATTTTTCACGACATGATCCATAAGGAAATTGAAGTGTACGTGGATGACTTCATAATCAAGTCCCGCAAGAGTTCAGCCACTTGACACATCTAAACAAATTCTTTGATTGTCTGCGTCATTACAACTTGAAGTTGAATCCCGCCAAATGCGCTTTTGGATTTCCAGCCGGGAAGTTGTTGGGATTTTTAGTCAGCGGGAGGGGTATTGAAATCGACCCTTCTAAGACTAAAGCAATTCAAGAGCTACCTCTGCCAAAGATGAGAAAAGAGGTGATGATTTTCTTATGAAGGTTAAGCTACATCAGTCGATTTATAGCTCAATCAACCGTGGTGTGTGAGCCTATTTTCAAGCTGCTGAAGAAAGACGCCCCGACAAAGTGAACTAAAGAGTGTCAGACTTTTTTTGACGCTATCAAGAACTATTTTTCAAATCCACTGGTATTGGTTCCTCCGCGAGAAGGGAGTCCTTTGTTGTTGTACTTGTTTGTCTCACATAGCGCATTCGGATGCGGACTTAATCAACACGATGAGACAGGAAAGAAGGAAAGGGCTATCTATTATATGAGCAAGAAGTTTACTCCATACGAGTCTCGTTACACTTTGTTGGAGAGAATGCGTTGTGCTTTAACGTGGCTTGCCCAGATTTTGAGACACTATTTGTCTTCTTATACTACATACCTCATTTCCAGAATGGATCCACTGAAGTATATCTTTCAGAAGGCAATGCCGACCGGAAAGTTAGCTAAGTGGAAAATTTTGTTGAGTGAGTTTGACATTATGTATATGACTCAGAAAATGATAAAGGCACAGGCTTTGGCTGATCATCTTGCAGAAAATCCTGTTGATGAAGAGTATGAACCGCTTAAGACTTATTTTCATGATGAAGAAGTGTCATTTGTGGATGAGGATATTTCCGAAGAGTATCCAGGTTGGAGATTATTCTTTGATGGAGCGGCGAATCATCAAGGTAAAGGTATTGGAGCAGTCTTAGTGTCATAATCCGGTCATCACTATCCATTGCGACTAATCTTCAATTTAATTACACGAACAACATGGCCGAATACGAAGCTTGTGTTCTTGGTTAGAAAATGGCCATCGACATGAATGTCTATGAGTTCTTAGTTATTACAGACTCAGATCTTTTGACTCATAAAGTCCAAGGAGAATGGACTGTGAAGAACCCAAAGATTATATCTTATGTACAGTACGTGCAGAAGTTGTGCAAAAGATTTCATAAGATCAAGTTCACACATACTCCTAGAATACATAATGAATTGGCCGATGCTCTTGCAACCATCTCTTTGATGATTAAACATCCAAACACAAATTATATTGATCCTCTGGATATAGAGTTGAAAGGACATCTAGTCCATTTTTCCCATGTTGAAACGTTTGCCTTGGTATTTTGATATAAAAAAAGTATTTGGAATCTGGAACTTATCTGAAGATGCTACGGCCAACCAAAAGAAGTTTATACGCCATGTGGGTCTCAATTTCATTCTAAGTGGAGAAGTACTTTAAAGGAGGGCTCCAGATTTGGGTCTTTTAAGATGTAGTAATGTTGTTGAAGCTGTGAAGCTTATTGAACAAATACATGCTGAAGTTTGTGGTACACATATGAATGGGCTAACTTTGGAAAGAAAGACCCTACGAGCCGGGTATTTCTAGATGACTATGGAGAATGATTGTTGCAAATTTTTGCAAAAGTGCCACAAATGTCAAGTGCATGGTGATTTGATCAGAGTGCCACCTCACGAACTTAATTCTATGAGTTCACCTTGGCCCTTCGTATCTTGGGGAATGGATGTCATCGGTACGGTAGAGCCATCAGCTTCTAATGGACACAGATTCATTTTGGTCACCATTTATTATTTCACTAAGTGGGTGAAAGCAGCTTCTTACAAGTAAGTAACAAAGAAAGTGGTGGCTGATTTTGTTCGCAACAATCTGATATGTAGATTTTGGGTGCCAGAATCCATTATTACTGATAATGGTGCAAATCTCAAGAGTCACTTGATGAGAGATATATGTGAGAAATTTAAGATTACTCATCAAAATTCAACTGCTTATCGTCCCCAAATGAACGGAGCTGTAGAGGCTGCCAATAAGAATATAAAAGGATTTTGAGGAAAATGATTGACAAGCATCGAGGTTGGCATGAGATGTTACCATATGCTTTATTGGGATACCGCACGACTGTCAGAATATTGATTGGTGATACGCCTTACTTACTAGTATATGGAACAGAGGTAGTCATACCTGCTGAAGTTGAGATACCGTCATTGAAAATCATCCAGGAAGATGAGTTGAGTAATGTTGAATGGGTGAGCAAGCGTATTGATCAATTAACTTTGATGATAAGAGAATGGTTGTCGTCTGTCATGGTCAGTTGTATAGGCAGAGAATGGTTCATGCCTTTCAGAAGAGAGTAAGAGCAAGAGTTTTCGAAGTTGGTCAATTGGTACTTAAGCGCATTTTTCCTCATCAAGACGAATACCAAAAATTTACACCAAATTGGCAAGGTCCTTACATGGTTCGTAAAGTATTATCTAGAGCTGCTTTGGTCCTGTCGGAGATGGATGGAACCGTATGGCCGAAACCGATCAACTCAGATGCCGTCAAGAGATACTACGTCTGGAGCTGCGGTTTATATTTCTGTTATTTACTTGTTACCATTATGTTTTCTTGTATTCGTTTTTCTTAAATTCTTATCACTCCTGTAATGAACTACGTCTGACCTGAATTCTCGAGAATGAGATACGTAGGCGGCCTTTTGTAGGCTTCGGTCACCCCATTTACCCCTTTTAATATTTTCTTGTATTTGAACTATGTTCGACCTGAATTCTCAAGAATGAGATACGTAGGTGGCCTATGTCGGTCTCTGTCGGTTTCTCTATAATTTTTCTTACTTTGTCAACCTTTGAGGAGGGGGAACTACGTTTGACCTGATTCCTGCCTCAATGGGATAAGAAGGCACCACAAGGGTTCAGTCATATCTCCCGTTAAGATTTCTATTCTTCTTTACAATAGAAACTGGGACATAATTTTTGAGAGGGACTAAAAAAATCTCCAAAAAAAATATTCTTTCTAAGCAAGTCAAGAAAGAATATATTTCGAGATTTGCAACTGGTAATGGATTTTGAGAAGATCTCAAAATTCCGCGATCTGCTTAGTTACGGTGGAAAGATAAGCAAGACAGTTAACTGGGACAGAAATTTTGAGGATGGCCTCAAAATTTCAGCATGGGTTTATCTACGAGTCCGGAGTGACTCTAAAACTCCCTAGAGAATAATTGGATAGACCTCAAAGCATCAGACTCAAAGAAGTTTGTTAAGTCTGATATGACACGACTTGGTAGTGACCTTTTTAAGATACTATCTCTCGAAAATTTACTTCTTTTAAATTCGCTTTTATGTTTCATTTGTTTTGGCATAAAATACTTCGTCTTATCTTTTAAAAGTCAGGAGATCAGAAAACCAACCGGAGATAGGACCAGGAGCAGACAACTGAAGAAATCGACACAGATTAGTTCGTTTTTACAATTAACAATTTTTCTGTGGACGCAGTTTTATAGCTTTGCTTTGAAATCGGCAAATTCTTCCGATGAATGAATACGAAGATGTTAGAGGAGGTAAAAGCTGTCCTAGAATCATCTTATGTCACTTTTGTCCAAGACTAGGGAATATGATTTTTTTATTTCAATCAATTTCCAACAACATGAAACTTGTAAAGAACGTCTAGCTAGATTCAAAGGTGAATCAAGCGAAAATCTTAAGGGATAGTTTACGGCTTCCGTAAAGGACGCTGTTTGCATCACATTACCAAACAAGATAGTGCCGTTACCCGAAGGGGTCATTTATTTTATTATCGATCAAGACGGTGCATTACCCAGAGGAAACTTTTATTTTATTATCGATCAAGGCGATGTATTATCTGGAGGTCGTTTTACCGTTATCATCATTGGAGACGATATGAAAATTATGCATCGCGAGTCAATGTCCAAGCATCGCAAAAAATCATGCATCGCGAGTCAATATCTATATATCGTGGAAAATCATGCATCACGAGTAAATATCCATACATCGCGGAAGATCATGCATCACGAGGTAATATTCAAGTCTCGCGGGAAGATATTCATACCCTGCAAGAAATTATGCATCATGAGAAGATTCCATGCCTCGTTGAAACTTATGCATCGCGAGAAGATTTCATACCTCGCAGAAATTTGTGCGTCATGAGAAGATTCCATGCCTCGTCGAAATTTATACATCGCGAGAAGATTTCATACCACGCTAAAATTTATGCATCACGAGAAGATTTCATGCCTCGTTGAAATTTATGCATCGCGAGAGGATTTCATGCCTCACGAAAAGTTATGCATCACGGGAAGATTCATACCTCGGAAAAATTTACGTATCGCGGGAAGATATTCATGCCCCTCAAGAAGGCATGAACGGCTAAAAAGGAAATCGTGCATCCCAAGAGAAATATTTATCCATCGGCATCAACTGTATTCTTTTATTTTGATAAAAGTAAATATCAAGAAGAGCATCAAAGACGACGTCAAGAGAAATACTAGCACACAACATCAACTTTCCTTTAGGTTGACATCAAATGAAGAATACATTGAATATTATATTGCAAACACAAGACATAAGCTTTATTTGTTTTACGTCAAACCAATCGAGTTAATGACAAATGAGAAGGAGAACAACTCAGTGTCGACAAGGTGCGGACGACATCAAAAGGGATGCAGCACAACGTGGAACTTTTCTTGGCAACGAACTGGGACATAGTCCAAAGAGGATTGTGAAACCCTTAGGATGCGAGCAAAGGAGCGACTTCCACCACAATCAAGCCACACCCCTATTAAAAGGGATGTGGTTTTTTTTGTTTTTGTCAGTTTCGGTCTCGCATCCTAAAATTTTGGTATTTGCCGGAGGAAAATTTCCAATCTGAGTGACAATGCACCAAGAGTTTGGAAATTATGTCCGTGTAAGTTCTTACCTATGGATGTGAACGCACTACATTCATGGCTAAGAGGTTACAAGCCTCCTTTTCATACTCGTTTAATTTGTCACTTATCCAAAACCAAAGGTTATCTAGCATAATAGATTTCTTTTTCAACCGATCGAGTCGAACTAAAAACAGTCTGATTCCTGAAGTTTAAGGATATGTAGGCGAGTTCAATGTTAAAACTCGGCTGTATTCCAACATTTGATCTTAAATCTTATTCTTAAGCATTTCGGTGCCATCATAATTCGGTATTAGGATGACTTTTGAATTTTTTTCAAAATTGTGCATTCAATCAAGCATATCGAACTACAAGTGGCCTGAGTTTTCGTATAGTCTGAGACATGTAGGAAACTCGTAGCTAGGGTTCGGCCATAATTTATGAAATCCATTTCAAATCTTGTTGAAAAGATGAATTTGTGGTCGGTCAAAATTGGATTGGTCAATTTCATTTTCTTTGAATAGATGGCACCAATCCTAGTAAAATGAGGGACAGTTGTTGACAACCAAATTTGGCTCTCTACGATAAATTAATTCACGAGCTTCTTAATATTCAAATTGATTTAAAATAATAGATATTTTTTGAAATTCAAAAATACCTTTCAAAACATATATATGTAAGCATATTTTTAAGAATGTGTGAAAATCGTCTTAAAAATTTTCTTTTTTGTTTGAATATTTTACTAACTAGTTATGCAATAGTTTACTCTCTATTTTGGAACTAATTATTTTAATTACGTTGATTATTTTGTCTCGTCAAAGTTAAGAGGATTATGCAATTAATTCATAGTGATTTTTTTTATCTTTCAAGTTTATTTGGACCAACCAAATTTGGGCTTTTCTTTTATTATCAGCAGCCCACTCCTCCCAATTTCTCTTTCCCACCTTCCCAGTCCAATAATTCCAGCCTAAGATTTCCTCCATTTTCCGTCAGCCCGTGCAAACCTTAACATTCCCAGCCCAACTTTAAGTTATTTCTAGTCTGCCCAACCCCTTTTTATTTTATATCTAACACTTCTTTTACCTCTTCCTAGCCCAACGGAAAAACCCCCAAATCATCCCTTTTCTCCCGACCGACCCCACCGCCCAAGTTCTTCTTCCCTAGCAAATTGAAACCCAGGAGTTTCTGCAGCTTCAACTAGTATGAAATCCAATTTCACGCGTTCGTCCTTTTCCCTCTTCCAATTCGCGCGTGGAAATTAGGCAGTAACGGATACCTGCAATTTTGCTCTATCTGTATGACCTCTACAGCACACAAGACATGCAGAATCGTCCTTGTTGTTGTAGTATCGAGCCACGTCGCTTGCCCAGGACGAAGGGTCGATCTCGACCTTCCACCTCCCCTCAAATCCGTTCGAATTGCCTGGAATAGAGGGAATATTCATTTTTTATAAGGTTTGGAATTTGAATTCCAAATGGGCCGAAAAGTTTTGGAATTTCCTCATCTTTCCCTCCCTTCGGCAAAAAACCCTAATTCTTGGCCTTTATATAGTCTCTTTTTCTTTCTAGGAAGGGATTTTTTTATGGGAGAAGCCTGAGAAATTATTGAGAGGGTTTTGGTTCTTTTTTTAGTTGGAAAATTAGGAAAGATTTTTATTCTAGTCGAGAATTTAGAGAAGAAGTGATGAAAATACAGGAAGAAAGTTGTTTTGATCTTTAGTTGTTCTTTACATAACAAGAAAAAATAAATTGCTATCCAGACTTCCATTCTTTCGCTCGTGTTGAGTTTCTCGTGTTGAAGTCAGTTCTAGCTTGTCGTTTCAGTTTCACTGCCCTCAAGAGGTAACCTTCTTTTAATTTTAAGTTTGTTTATATCTTTTGAACATGTATTTCCTTGCGATTACCTGATAAATTTTCCTGAGTGTGTTCCGTCTAAATTATTTCCTTCATCTTACTTCTATAAAATGAGTAACGTGCGCTTCGCTTTCAGGTAGTTTGGTGACTCAGTTCAGTCCGTCTTTTATTTTAATTTTTAGTTCGTGGCGTTTCTTCTTTGCTATTTACTCGACTATATTGACATGATGGTATCTTCTCCTTTGTGTCAAAAATGATTTTTGTGCTTCTTTTATCAGTTGGATACGTTTGAAAAGATTTATCCCATCATCCTTGAGTTTAGATTTAGTTTTAGATCACTAAGTCTACCCCTAATTGGTTCAGTTCAGCATTATTGTAACTATCGTGTGACGCGAATGATTTTGCCATCTTGTTCATTTGGTCTCATTTGAATTTATTTATGCTTTCAATGTTTGACAGAGATTTTGTTTATGGTTTTGCCGCATTTGCTGTTAACATTCCTATTTCTTACCGCTACTGTTACCGTAGTTTTTCTGTTGCAAATCTCCGCATTTAAAAGTTCTTACAAATAGAAGTGAATAAAAGTTGGCTGATTCTTTTTTGGAAAATAAAAAGAAAAAAATAATAAAAATAAATGAATCATTGAAGTCTAGCAATGCAGTGAGTCTTTTTTGATCCAATTTCGATCACTGTTTATCAAGATTTCTTACCAATATATATCTATATTTGATTCTAAAATGCATGAGTCGCGAACCATTTTGTCTTTCTTGGAGTGTCAAGTTCTAGCTCGTTTATGCAAGGCGTCATATCTCAAGTCTTGTTGTTCACTGAAAAAGTTTTTTTTTCCTTCTAAATTATTAAGTGCTTAGATTCTTTGTTAAGTTGGACTCATAGGCCGATATCTCAAGAATGACAAAGAATTGGACCTTATTGATAATACAGTATTCACTTTCTAGTATAAAGGTTAATTCCCTAATAAAATTAGTGCATGTCTGCTCTTCGATGTGTCTATAGTGTTGCTCATGTGGGGGTGATTTTGACTTAAGTATTGGTTTTTTCTTAAATCGTCCTCGTTTAAATGCTCTATATGTACTAAATTTGTTAGCGTCGGATTGTGATATTTATTATGAAGGAGTAGTAAGTGAGATATATCACTGGACAGTCAGTAACATGATTTTTCTTTCAATACTATGAGTTACTCTAAGCCATACTCTGTTCTCTTAGCTCTTCATGCCGATGTAGTCGTGTTTTATTCTAGTCGATTTAATTTTTCCTATTTCATGAGCGTTTCGATTATCTTAATGCTTGTTAACTCGTTTGGATCAAGTTGGGCCTTTATATCATTTGATCATTAGTCGAAAATGGTGATTAAATTTGCCTATGGATTCAATATAAACATGTGTATTTCCTTGTTTTATCTGCCAGTTCTCAAAGCTTTCTAGAATTGTATGTTAAAAGTTGTTTGAAATTTTTTTTTC